ACATTGACAATTTTGGACACACAAGTTCTATGCACGTAGTCTGAGAAGCCCCTTGTGTTGTTCCTTGTGTAGCTGCACACATTGGCTTGCTAGAGTTTGTAACAGGCCTAATTTCCAGAAGATGTCTGTAGTAGTTACGTTCGTTTCACATTTGATAAGCGATCTCTGTATAAGTCACAAAGATGGGAGCGTCTTCACAGTTTTTGATGGAGACTCCAAAGCACTTCTATAAGTCACTCTGGATAAGGGCGTCTGCTAAACGCTGTAAACTTGTTTAAAAAAAATAAATTTGTATTAATTTAGTATCTGATGAGGTGAAGTTTTAAGCGGATGCTGTGATATAACGAAAATTGATATCGGGTTGTATTGTGAATTTTTTTTCCATGCTGTAAAGTTGGGAAGTTTTCATTTGTAATAGTTTTATTGCTCTGAGCTGTATTTTTGGCCTAGGTCCTGTGTAATAAGTCATCCATTTGCAGTCAGAGACACAAAAGAGGCATTACGATTACACATAAGTCATTTCCTGTCTGCTCTCACTAACGGGAAATTTTCTGTGCAGAACATAACCTCCATGTGTATTGTGTTTGAGTTCCTCTGAGGACGAGTAATGAACCGGGTCTGATGTTGAATGTCCTGCTGCTGTTAGTGGTTTGCTTTGATTTTACACACTTCAGTAACGTGCTAGAGTGACAAGTATATTGTTTATTGGTTTCTGCTGTGAAGCTTGCACTTCAGGAATGAGCTCATTGTCCCGGCCCTGATGTTTAAATGCGTGCTGTGATCATGCTCAATCTCAGAAGTTGCAGTGACGTCCATATTTACACCGTCCACCAAATACCATAAATCAAGCCGATCTTTAAACGGGAACGTTGAAAGCTTTAATATGAAGTGAATCACACTTGCTGTTGATGTTTTATGCCTCGGTCCTGCAGCCGTGTGTTGTTCTAAAACTGAGGTCTGTGCTCTAAAAAGAATCATCGCTCAGTTAGAGTGTGACGAACGCCTCTGGTTGGCTCAAGTCCATCGATATCTTCGTCCTTGATTAGTCTTGCCGTTCGGTCTTTGTGTAACATTTGAGTCTGTGTGAAATAAGAGACAGGCCTGTCAACCGCTGTGGTTTTGAATTTTTTTGGCCCGTTGCTGCAGTGATACAGCGGCCACTGCGGGGAAATCTGGGCTTTTCTGCATTTGTCTGACCACGCCCCCTTCCATCCTCCCCCCAGCACCACGGGAGATGCTGTCATCAGTTGGCGATAGTTAGCGGGAACGATAGGTCATTGGCGTATTACACACGATTTCACAAGCGTTTAACCATTTGGTTGGTACGTAGATTTTCTCACAGGTGTATATGTGTAATGTCCACACAGCTCTCATACGTTACGTCTTAATCATCGCTTCTGTTGTAGATAAATAAACCCATGTCTGCTAGCTAGCTGTCAGTCGGACTAGATGACTGACGTGGATCACCTTCATGCTGCGAACCCAACAGGCTGTATTTATTTTCTTTTATTGTGTGGAACCTCGCAGCATGAGTTGCTGAATCAGAGTTTACTGTGTTGTTTGTGTGCAGCAAGCGAGGGCGGAGCAGGAGGAGGAGTTCATCTCCAACACCTTGTTTAAGAAGATCCAGGCTCTGCAGAAGGAGAAAGAGACGCTCGCCGTGAACTATGAGAAAGAGGAGGAGTTCCTTACTAACGATCTGTCCCGGAAACTCATGCAGGTAAATCACCACATGGGAGATTTCAGACAAAGCTCCTCACCATCACCATCACCATCATCATCATCACAACGCTAACTGAGCGAATATCTTTGGGAAGAAAAAGATCCATAGACTTGTAGAATCGATCCCAAGGCACATTGAAGCATTTAGGCCCCTTGTGGCGACCCAAACACTTACTAAACTTACTAGCATACTATATATGTTTCGATGGTATTAGGACAAAACGTTTAATTAATTTATATCACGTTTAGGTTCCACAGATGCTGATTCAGTGAGAAATAAAATTGTGTCTCTGTTCTGAATGTAATGTAGATATTCTGTAGTAATCACTCCCTGCTTTTAGATCCTCTTAGCTGTAATATCTGTCTCCAGAGTTTTTCTTCTGTTCCTTTTTTTTTTTTTTTTTTTTTTTAAATAA